CAGACTTCCTAATGAGTTCTGCTTTATTCTAGGCACATTAACACACACAACAGACTATAGATCTGCAGATAATGACTTCCAGCTGAATTCACCCTTGCTTCCAAAACCCTCCTAACAAATACAGATTTGTTTTGCTCAGGGTACCCCTCCAAAGCCATCATCATTATCAAACTGACACACCTACACATCCGCAAACCAAGCTGTAGAAAGCATTGACCTATTTTAGGTTAAACTACAATGTCACATTTTAAGATTTAGTTCTCTAGAAAGTCCCATATCTATTCTTAACTAATCAAATTAACAAATGATCTTTATAATTTTTTAGAATTTAAGAAATACAGAACTGAAGAATTGGGACTGAAATGCCACCTGTACCACCGTAGTCATGATAAGCTCCTCTAACTGTTATCAAAGTCCTCTGCTACATATGCCATACAACTGGGTCTCTCACTTTACACTGGTAGGAGGAAGTTCAAAACTGCACTAACTGGACTGTTAAATATAGAAAGCACTTACATCATATCCTCTGAGAACAGCCAGGTGGAATGAAAGCAACTGAAGAGGAATAACACTCAGGATTCCTTGAAGGCAGTCGACGGTATGAGGGAGCTCAATGGTTTTGTAGGCAAATTTTGAGCTTTCTGTGTCTTCTTTAGAACACAGAATGATTGGACGACCCTGAAAATACAATTTTGCACTGGTAAGTGAAGAGCCAACCTAGAACTGCTTTGAAATATTGGTTCACAGCATGCCTGTCTATGTTTGAAGACACTCAAGTATCTAACAAAGGCAATGCCAGTCTAATGACTTTTACCTTTCACTGTATTGTGAGACTTGAATGTTTTCACCTTGCAGAGTTTTAATATTATTCCATTTGCTTCAAAACAAAAAAACCTAAACAAATAAATACCCACATGCTATCTTTTTCACTGCTGGTCTTAACCTGTAATAACAACCCACACTGCAGATGTAGTACCTTATTTATAACTTTATAATTAAAACAAAATCAGCAGTACATCCTTTTTTTGGAGGCAGAGCCAGCAGCAATACAATGTGCACAATCTCTTTTCCTCTGACACTGTAGTAGTTAAATATCCTACCTGCCGAGCAGTGACCTGTTGCAGAGCATTCTGGCACTTGGTGAAACAGGGATCCTTCATTATCACCATGATAACAGGCATTTGTTTATCTATTAGGGCTAATGGCCCATGTTTCAGCTCACCAGCCAGGATCCCTTCAGAGTGCATATAGGTGATTTCTTTTATTTTCTGGAAAAAAAAAAAAAGAAAAAAAGAAATGCCATCAAGTTACTGGTAAATCAGAGGAGAAACAGCAGCCACAAGAAGCAAAACAGCAAAGCTGTACCTCTGCCACTTCAATGCAGACATGTGGTACCAAGTTGGTATTTTCAAAGATCAGTTACTAGTGATAACACATGGGCTGTCTGCTGGGATTTCCAGCAGGCTGTGGGTGGAAGCAGAGCTTGCCCAGGCACATGCATTTGCAGATAAAGGGCTGGAATAATCAACAGGAACTTTAAGAACCAAGCCCCCAGCACAACCTTGGCTGATGCAGTCCACCCTTAACACTTCAAACTCCTCTGAGAGGTGGGTTTGTGTCCATCCACCAGAATGCTCATAACATAATTCATGAGTTTCCTTCACAAGCACCTCTTCTCAACACCAGCACATTGGGTTTTTCTGATGTTATTTTCAAATGGGTCAGTAGTGTAAACTGTTAGGTTTTTGGTTTTTAAACAGACCCATTAAATGCTGCATTTATTATGTGAAAGAAACAAGAAACTGATATTGTATCCAGGTTCACCTTATGTATGTGTTCAATTAAATGCTCCTAGTTATAGATAACAGCTTTACTGCAGCAGAATTAAGTTGTAATGAAATATTACAAATAATCTATGTTGCAGAAGCCACAAAACCTCATTTTAAATAACATTCTACAATATTGAGAAGTTCCTACCAAAGCTCCTTCCAGACAAGTGGCGTAATTATACCCACGACCCATAACCAGCAATGATCTTTGTTTGTACAGTTCAAGAGCCAAATCGTGTATCTTCTCATCCAAGGATAAGACTTCTTTAATCATCTCTATTGAGGCACAGAAAAAAAATATTAAATTTTTTTTAACTGGAAAAAATAGTTTGCTTGTAGTAGTGTGTTCTAATTACCTAATAGAACAAATACACTTAATAGAATTCAACCACTAACTTAGTAACTTTGACTGCAGTTTAAGGATATTTTCTCCAGCCTTATTTACAGTAATAAATTTAAAGCTACTATTGATTTAAGCAGTGCTCATGCATCCCATTTGAATTTTTAAAGGAAGTTGTGAACATCCGTTTTAAAGTCACCTTGAATTAGTTTCCTTTTATCTATCCTGATTTAAGGTGGAAGGCTTTAAAAAATTCAAACTGTCAATTCAGGAGATCAAATAGTATTTCTCATACAAAACTACTTTATTGTAATTAGAAAACCCAGCCCATGAAAATTCCAATCTTCCTGCCAAGTTTCTTGGAAGGGTGCTTGTAAAACTGGCAAATGGCGCAGAAATGAGTAGTACATTTTTCTCATATTGTCTCCCTTTCAGTAGGTGGGGGAGAGTGAAACTTAAATGAGAAAGAAAAATCCCTGAGGAGTATTTTATATTGCCAACATCCCCTATGCCTCCTCAAACCCAAAATATCAATATACCTGGCAATGATTTTAGTCCACTAATGATCTCCTGTCTCCTTTTCTGCAAGGAAATTCTGTCTTCAGACATCATTAGGCCAAACATTACAAGAGACACGAACTGGCTGGTATAAGCCTGCAGACAAAACAAAACATTTAACAGCTAAGTCTGCAGAGAGTTAATATGATCTCAGTTTGAAGTGCTACAATTAAAATTTTAATTGGATTCCACAGGGCTGAAGCATGAAAGTCAGACACTGAACAGCAATTACCTTTGTGCTTGCCACACCTATCTCAGGTCCTGCATTGATATGTACCCCACAGTCAGTCTCCCTGGATATTGAGCTTCCAACTGTGTTTGTGATGCCAACTGTCAGAGCACGATGTTCCTTACAATACCTCAAGGCCATAAGTGTATCTGCAGTTTCACCTGGAAAACATTTGCATCTTGACTTCAGGTTGGCAGAGGATAGTAATGATTCCTGAAAAGCATAAAATTCTACATAACTGTATTCACACCCACACAGCGCAAAATGCGATGGAAAGCAATCTTACAGCACACACTCAACAGTAAATGCAGCTCACCTGACTGGCTTATGAAAAAGCACACATCATCCCTGAATACAGGGGTGTTTCTATCCAGGAAGTCACTGGCAAGTTCCACCATCACTGGTAATTCAGTTAATTCTTCCAATACTTGTCGAGTCTGTATTCAAGCAGCAACACAATATTTGTTACTATTGCCACCCATTAATGTCTGGGCATCTTATGAGTCAGAGATAATCTAAACGGATTCTTATGAGAAAAACTGATAATAACAGCTCACCAGAGCTTTAAAAACCAAGGTGAAAAAAGTCAGCTTCTAGCATGGCAAGTCAATGGGCATTGGAGCATTAATAAAGAACATGGCACAAAGAGACCCCTCAATGAAACACAAAGTTTGAGACAGAAGAAAAAGCAGATGAAGAGCTGTTGTCTAAAACCCCAGCAATTAAGAGTTACATGTGCATTTGAGCCAAGGCTGAACATACAGCTACTGCAGCGTGGTAACTGGTCCCACAGCCAATAATTATCAGTCTTCGGCACCTTCTGATTTCCTTCAAATGATCCTTCAGCCCCCCCAGCAAAACTGCAGACAAATAAATATGCATATATCAGTGGTGCATTTTATTTTCTGATTGGTATATTTACAGTTTTCAAGGCCAATGCAGCCTGAACACCTGCTCTGAGTTACCTGTGCTGCTCTCGAAATTCACCCTTCCTCTCATCGTGTTGACAACTGATTCTGGCTGCTCAAAGATTTCCTTCTGCATGAAGGCGCTGAAGTTACCTGTTTACAAAAGCATGACATGGTAATGCTTAGGTTTGTTATTTTAAGCCTATTCCAGATACAAAGAGAACTTTTAAGACAACCTGTTGTAGCAAGATAATTTGACTGTATCAGTTTAAACAAAACCTTAGGAATAGGCAAGAAGAAAGGCAGGATTGGTAATTCACTCTGATTGGTCGGTTGGTTTCGTTTCCCAACACTGACAAGGGAACTAAATTAGTTTTTAAAGAAACTTTTGTGTTCTGCATAAATTCTTAGTTTACAATCAAACTCTGCCAACAATTACAATATGTTAACATTAGTTACATTTTCACTAAATACTGAACTGAATAGAAGCATCTTTGACTTTTCCAAGGCTAAAATGGATAGAGTGCCAGACTGCCCATCGTCTCTCGGTCTTAAAATTTGGAATTGTCAGCTCCCAGTAGAAATAACCTAAATATAATTTTCACAACAAATTAAGAGTTTTCTGCCTTATCTACTTCACAAACAGTAACCATCCATCTTTTATGATATTCATTTACAGATGTTTCAACGCACCCTTCATGATTTGCTGCAATTCCATCTGCAAGGTTTGGATGGCCCGGGAAGGATCATCACTGGCCGAACGCTCCAGACGGTGAATTGAGAGCTTCCCATCAGTTACTGCTGCAATGTCATCATCTTCTAGGAAAATCACTCTGTTGGTGTGCTCAATGATAGCACTGCATTAAAAAACAGAAACAAAACAAAACCTGACACATCAGAGCTTGTAACAGTAAAGCAATTAAATATGTCACAGCAGCACTTCCAGCCGCGCTTCTGTCTCTTCCTTTTGGGCACAAATGCAGATAGAGTCATCTCAAAGGCAATGGCTCCATCTGCTGCTCCTCCTGCACTCTCACAGCAACCCAGAGGAGGCTCAGGAACCACTGCAGCAGTTCCTGCTGATCTGGTCTTGCCTCCCCCTGTCCCTGACGGATCCTGCTAAGGTCCTGATCTTGCTTCTGACATAAATGTGCACCTGATGTCCAGGTATCTGCCAAGCTTGGAACCACACCACTATTTCCTCTTCTGACACCACAACCCAGACTAACCTACAGTCTGCCCAAATATTCAGCTGATATTGTCCATTTCTACCCAAATTACTTTCCTGCACTGGATGTATTTCACATAGAGGTCAGCAGCTGGCTGCACTTGTTTGAAGCTCAGATGCTGGTGACAAGCCTTCACATTTTTCAAGTACCTGAGTCTGGGGGCTTTATGAAGTTACCTGAATTAAAAGCTATTCTATCAGAAAGCAGTTGTACAGCAGCAAGACAGTATAAGATTTCCAGAACTATCTCACTTCTAAACAGGAACCAGTATTTTCAGAAAAGTTTAAATACTTCTACTACCTTGCATCTGAAGCAAAGAAGAATTCTACTGCCTTATCCCCAACAGCATGAAGGCAGGTTGAGCTGTCCAGTCTTTTCACTCGGGAATTGCAGATGTTCTTCACATTCTCAATGTTGCCTATTAAAGAAACCAGATATTTTAAATGCAAGACCAGTTCTGTTCAAGTCAGAGATTACAGATTATACAGGTTCAGGATACCACAGTAACACAAGTATTTTGGGAGGTGGGTCTTTTACATGAACTGCACATTCAGTAGTATAAAAATATAATAGCTAAGAAGCTATTTGGGGCATCAGCTGGTACTTTTACAGTACAAAGACCAATTAACCCGATTTCAAATTATAAAATAACAGTAATTTTAGTTCTTAAAAATAATCAACTTACATGTTCTATACAAAACAGGAATCTGTTCAGTTGAAAGCTTGTACTTGCTCCTTACCCCAATGAGCAAAGGACTCCCCCTCCTACAAAACAGAAAACAAGCAAGTTCATGAAGAGAAACGTGCACACAAAGAAGTCAAAGGACATCTGTGAAGTTGAAAGACAGTATCCCATCTAGCTTCCTAAGTAGAAAGACCCTCCTCAACCATGATCCTAAAGCCATTACATGGCAGGAGTTAAATCAGCTTGGCTTGCTTCTGTAAGATTTGCCAAATCATTACTGCACCTCTGAAAGTGTAGAGTATGAAGATAATTTTTTAATTATATGGGTCACATGCCACACTGAAGACTCTGTTAAAAAAAAAAAATCACAGGAATAAAAGGACAAGTCACCCTCCACCATCACCTCAGAGTACAAGACTAGCTTCTCTAAATACCCTCAGTCCTAAAAACCCAAACCTGAACCACATATAGAATAGTTCATTTCAGAAGATGTTGTCCAGCTAGAGTGATGGTACAGCTGGCTGTTCCACAGTTTTAATGCAGTCCTATTTTAGACCACAGAAGCAATGGGCTTTTGGGTTATAGTATAAAACAGGCTTTATTTCCCACTGCTACTTCATTTGCTATTTTAATATCCTTGCATTTCCTGAAAGTTGTTTTCCAAGTCATAAATAAAAGTAGAACTTAAAGAGAAATCATAAGTGCTATGACAACTATAGAACACTATTTGTATAACCTATTACTCTGATGGTCTTTTAACCAACCTGAATATACCTATCTCAGTCTTTACTCCATGTGAAGTAAAATTGAACAATATCCTTTCTGTCCCTTTTTTGATATAGGACAAATGCCAGCACACTCTTAATACAACTTCACAAACAGAAGATACACTGAGTTTCTTTATTGACTCACTGACTTTTGGTTAATTAAGCACTTTACACATCAATATTCTAGTATCTTTAAGAGATGTTAGCCTTTTTTAACCTACAGCATGAATTATGTATAAAATTGGACTTTTACTAACCTGGTAGCAACAGCTTCACCTGGGTAATGGATGCTCTTGAAAACCAATGCAAAAGCACCTTCCTGGAAACCACGAAAACAAAAGAAAAAAAAAAAGACATCCTCAGCAGCTTATCTCAATTAGTTGCATCCCATTAAACTGGGGCCCCTCTCCCTGAAGAGGCTCTGAAGGAACACTCTTTACTGCTATCAGGAATCTCTTCCTGGAGGGCAGACTGCACCTTTAAAGGAATTGGTCATGGAGCAGAACAAGCCAACATGGACATTAGCAGTGCAAGAGCAGAAAGATCAGGAAGTGAGCACTTAGCCTCTCTTTAAAAATAAAACCAGCAACTTCTAGGGTTATGAAAATGTCAGAGATGTTACTCATAATCAACATGAAGACTGTTAGACTTTTACTTTTAGTAAGACTTTCAATAAGAATGTGCATGTAGTGCATTATCATGCATTTTCAGCTAAAAATGTGGAGTTACTATTTCCAGTTTAAGCAGCAAATTCTAGTTAATGGATTTCAGAAACAAAACGCACACCAAAAAAAAAATCCAGAACACAAGAACAGAAGCCAGAAACATCTCTGTAGTACTAACACAGCTGGCAAACTGGAGGAGTATTCCAAAAGCAGGAGCAAAGGCCCCCACACTTTGCAAGCAGAGGAGAGATGGTGACATTCCCTCCTCTCATGGAAGGGCTCCAGTCAGGCTGTTCTGCCCTTGTTCTGTGGCCAGGTGAAGCCACCCTTCCCCTCAGCTATGTGGCTTCACCACTATTCCCTCCTGACCCACACAGGCCTTCACTCCGTGTGTATTCCAGCCCTGCTCCAAGGAATCCTACAGAGCTGCTTTAAAGAGGAGACAGGGGAGGTGAAAAGACTGTAAGAAACTGCAGGAAGGGGAGGGAAAACATCTGCCCAGGGACTGGGGGAGGAAACAAAGCCAGCTTTCTCCAAGTTTGCAATGCAGCTATCAAAGTTTTCAAGTATTCACATACTGAGTAACAGTAGACTCCCACTTCACAGTCTGGAAATCAGTACAGTTTGTCAGATCTAGTTCCAAATAGGGGAGCCAAGGCATTGGCCAAACTTGAATCACAGCAGTGTTTTAACATGATCAGAATAGCCTTTAAGAACACACTGCCCTTTATGAAAGATTTCAACCCCCAGAGGCTCCTATTAATTTTTTTTTTATTAAATTTCTTCACTAAAAAACGGCGATAATCTCTTGCTTAAAAAAAAAAAAAACAGACAACAAAAAAACTCAGCGAACCAAACCTACTGCTGCTACAATTCAAAGATTTAACATTGAAAAGCCTTTGAAGTCTCCAAAATTTTAATCTCATTTCTTGGTCTATTAAGCATTGTTTAGAGACCTAGAAGTGTTATTTGCAGCACCTTCTAAGAATTCCTGCAGAGGTTCTAAATGCATAAATGCAGAATTTGCAGGAACCCCACAAGTAGCTTGTAAAGTGGTACAGGAAAAAAGCAACATCCCACTTACCAACTGTTGAATAACTCTTTCTACCAAGGCTGAAAAACTGGTGTCCTCACTCTCTCTGTTGTCATACATGTATTTGATCAATTTGGGGATTGTTTCTGTATCTGTTTCAGATTCAAATTCGTAGCCTTTGCTCTCCTGAAATATCATATAGAAGAGTAAAAAGCATGTTCATCCTCAGACAAGAAGCACTGAAGAGTCTCAGCTGCCTCTCACTAGAAACTGCACAGGCAGAGCACTACATTGGACTAGTGGATAGAAACCACTATAGACAAAATATAAAGACTTATCCTGTCATAGAATAAGTCTCTTTGGGAAATACCATAATAAGACATGTAGTAAGACTTGCTTAGCATCTGTCAAGAAACAAAGAGACAGGAGGGAGCCCACTCCACACACCTCTCAAAGAGTCTGAGGGCACAAACTGCTACTCTACTCATAAATACTTCACATTTAGGATTACAAGAACATATTGCACTTCACTAGCTACTGAGTATTTTTATTAGGCACTAATATTTTATAAATTATATTAAGAAACTTGAATTCAGATTCCACCAAAGTCATGAAAGATCTGACAGTAGCTGGAGGAGCATTTACTTTCTAGTTTTAGAACCAAGTTGGCACAGACTCACCAGAAATTTTCTCAGGTCCTTATAATTTGTGATGATTCCATTATGGATAACAACGAATTCTAAAAGGAAGAATACACACATTCATCAGCAGTGAATAATTAAGATATTTAACTCAGAACACAAAATTAAAGGGAACAAAAAAGCCCTTAAGAGTATACTCAAAACTACCTCTTCTAGCTTTCAAACCTACAGTTTATCACAACATGGAGAACAAAAGCAGAACCTTACAAATTCTGACCACATATGAAGGCAGTTCCAAATCATGAAGGCAGTTCTAAACTACACCTATTAGAAGAGAATCAAGCCATCTCAAGTAAAAAATTATATGAAATCTCTCTTTTCTGGGCCAGGCAATATTAACCACTTCACATTTTCAATCTTACCTTTCATAACAAGAATGTTGTACTTTGACTAACTTGCAATTTTCAGAGAACAGATTTCATTAATTTTTTTACAGTGTTACTTTAGCCTGAGAAGAGAATATTTTATTGTGAAAGTGTCCAGAATGGCAACAGCTCAGCCCCAGTATAAAAAATAGATACCATAACATTAGTAATAACATATGTGCTATGTGGATTGAATCATTTCAGATTCATACAGTTCAAGTGCTGCAGAGATTACGTACCATTCCTTTTATCTGATCTCTGGGGGTGACTGTTTATTGCACTTGGTACACCATGGGTTGCCCAGCGAGTATGAGCAATTCCGAAATGTGTTTCAAAATCTGTTTTTGAATCCAAGTCATCTTGTTCTATAAACGAGAAATTCAGTTTACTGATTATTTAATGCTGCATCTCTCTTTCTCTCTCTCTCTTTCTCTCTCTCTCACACACACACACAGTAAAACAAAGAGAATTCCTACAAGCAAAAATCTAAAAGTTATCTTCTGGCTTTTTTTTTTTTTTAAACCATTTGCTTTCTCAACATTACACTTCAGAAAGTTCAAGCTACTGTGATTAAAACTTTGTTTGCCAAGACTGGGGCATTTTCAGCCCACACCAATAGCCAGGCTAACAGACCCCATTACTACAAATTATAGAGTAAACGTATTAAAACACAGCTTCAGTTCTTCACAGATGGAAGCACTGCATAAAGCAGATTGTGATGACAGCCAGCTGCTTAAATGGTCGTAAATTCTGTCACAGTGCATGTTTCAGCATTTCAGCCCTCCAGCACAGAAGTCACGTGAGTAAAGCACCAAAGGAGCCCAGGTTTTGAACAAAGAAGCAACCAAAAGAGGGGAGAGTAGACTGATGATTTCACAGGGCTGTATCTAAATATCAGCTTGCTTTTAAAGTGCAGGTTTGAGGGGCACAAACAGTTTAACTGATATTGGATTTCACAATGCAGTTATTTCTGATACAAAATCATAACTGCAATTTTACGGTCTGGCTTTCTGCTGAGATGCAGATTATATCTGACTGGGAGGCCAAAGTAAAGGGGTCATTTTTAAGGCACTTACTGTACAACTCTTCTTCCAGGGCCTTTACTTTTCCTCTTTTCTTGACTAGTTTGATGAATCTTTCTTTATCTTCATTATTATTTCCATCAATTGCCACTCCTGCAATATAGGACACAGTCACAAGTGTTATTTAAAACATTAAATACACTGGATGAAGAAAAGACTGAAAAAATACAGACAAGTACACACCACTGAAGCAATACTTTTTAAATTATCCTTGAAAGGGATATATTTGAAGCCTGTTGCAAGACTTGTGTATGTTCAAATGACAGTACATGAAGTCTATATCCACTGCATAGATCAAAACATACATGAGCCATCTCAAATTTTGCTTAAGGACAGTCTGAAATATTTTGCCTGATGAAATGAACCATCTCAAACTTAAATACAAGTTTAATCTTCCCCATCCTTTCACTGGGACTCACATGCACAGAAAAGGCCGAGCCACAAACTATATGGCCCCGTATAGAGATCTTCTTCCTCACACCCTGTTTGTTCTGCTCATGTGTACTAAACCTCAACCATCTAATTACAGAGCTAAATACCCCATTTAAAGTCCTGAGGAAAGCTGAAGTACTCCAAGAATCAAGATAATTAGTTTCGATCTGGTAATCTGTGGAATAAAGAAAGAAAAATCCAACGTGCCAGACATTGAAAGTACCCAAAAAAAATCATGTAATGAGCTCCTAGTTGCTAAAAATTAATTTGTTGAGTTGGTTTACATACCTGCAGAGTCATATCCTCTGTATTCCAGTCTCTGTAATCCTTTTATCAGGGTTTCATATATTTCCTTCCGAGTACGAGGCACTCTGTAGTTCAGATAAGCAAAAATTCCTGTTTCAAGAGAAAAGGGGAAGGAGGGGGAAAAAAAAAAAAAGCAAAGATTTTTTTTAGAATTTGCATGCCTTCAGACTCAATTTAAAACCCTTTAAAACTAATATCAAGGAGAAGCCCTAGAGGCACCCAACCTACCACTTAGTACAATTCCTCCTAATGCGTTTTTGAATGGAAAGAGTTCAAATACAATAAAGGACTCGGGACCCTCATTTTCACCACACAAAACATACACTTTCCTGGCCAGCTTCCCTTTCCTCATGTTACCCACTAAGAGTTAAACGGTGAGGAGAGGTTAAAAAAATTCTACTCTTCACAAAAACCACAGCTGAAAATGGGAACATTGTGATCTATTTCATATCCAGACATTCAAAGAAGGAATATATTCACCAGGACTAACACAAGGAGACTTTTGTAATCCAAGTCATGGCCTTAAATACCCATGGGTAGGTACTACGCACAACATCCATTTCTGAAAGGCTCCAGCTTAATCCTCCATACAACAGGCACTTCAGCAGGAAGAGAATAGGGAAGAAAACATGAAGGAAGGGCAGAAGTCAATAGGATAGGACAACAAAGGGAAGAAACAGAAGGTACAAAACGGGGTCACCCAAAAAACAAGCACTCGCCCTTTGGCCTGCCTCAACACAATGGTGCTGCCAAACCAAACTCCGAGACACGAGATCCCTGTGCTTACCCTCTGCTACTCAGGTCAGGTCTTACAGAGGCATCACAGGGAAAGACATGAACTCTCTCCTTGCCTACTTGGCAAACAGAGCCTGGAAGAGTCTGAAAGTCTGATCCCTCTTCTCTTGAATAGAGCAGTCATGGAACAAGAAGAGACCTTTTTAGGTTTTTTTTTTTGGAAGGCAAAGTACACAAGTTTTTTTTTATTAGAAGGATTTTGTGGATGTTGTTTTATATTTAGAAAAGGTATAACAAAGGATCACCTGCAAAGGAAAACACGACCATTCCTTTTCTCTGCCTACTGCTCTTCCTGGCACTCTGACATTTATAAGGATGCATTAGACTCTTTTACTAAGTTTAGCAAATCTGTACCCCAATGAAACAGAAACAACTATTTCAATAGTTTCTTCAAGCAACAAGTCAGGACCGGAGACTACAGTTAGAAAAAAAACAGACTTCAAGAATTCAACAGATAAGCAGTTCAGACAAGTGTTTTAGATAGAGAAAGCCTTTGTTTGAAATTTAACACCCTCTTCCCATTCAATTAAGGCTTTTGAACTGTAAATGGCTGTAGTGAAGAAGCTGTTATAATGATACACCAATAAATCTCCCTTATAAATATTGTTGTGAAGTTGGTTACTCCACCGGTTTATAAGCTGTTAATACTGTTGATTTGACAGTGAGACTAAGAGACTATTACATTTGCCTCAGAATTTATTTTGGAAAGATTAGAGCGTGGAAAACGCTTTTCTGCTTTAGAAGTGAGATTTATGAGGAGTTGAGCCTAATTATTTCTAGAGCACACAATGTGAACAGAGATATTAAGACAACAGTTGCATTTAAGGAGGTATTTGGGAATTTCAATAGCTAAGTACTGCTCTTCATGGATGCTTTGAAAAATAATGCCTCTGGTTATATAGTCCCTTTAGACTGAGAGCCTGTTGATAATTTTCCCGGACAGATATTTGCTGTTCTCTGGCACTGACCACGAACCTCAAGAGCAGTATTCTCCAATTCCTTCAAATACAAATTTCTCAACATCATTCCAAAAAATTGCCACACACCTCACTTCAGATCCAACTCTACTTTCTAGGCCAGATTTCACAATGAATTTAAGACTCATCAGCCTTGTATGTTCCATGTGGCCTCCTTGACTACAGAGAGCTCCAGGAAGAACCTTCCTTTGGGATAGTCCTTACAATGCTACCAGTGTGCTGAGACTGTTAAAAAGATCCTTGTTTCCAGGGAATTGTAGCTCCACTTCCACACACGTGAATTGGAAGATGCAGAAGTCACCAGAGGCCATTTACAATGAAAACAATAGCTGCAGCCTGACTTCAAGGAATATATTATAAACTCTTCCAGTTAAAGGAAATCAATCTCACTGTTTCTCTAGTACGTTTCTGTTTTGTGATTTATCCACTTGCATATTTCTTCCCTCCTCAGTCATTATTTTGGCCAGATTCAAAGCACATTACTCAACTTATTTAGAAACAACTTGTGATAAAGACTTCTTGTAGCTTCATTCCTTCTGGAAGCACACCAGTATGACTGAATCCTAGTTGAATCATACTCATGATAAGAGTTTTGTGATGCCAGCAAGTTACTTTTTAATGACCTCCCCAAGGTATTAGTTCCCATTTCCTGAGCTTGCTCCCCCCTGAGGACACTCAAGTACATATAAACATAAAATCCAATGAAAGCATCTAAAAAGTGTTTTACTAGGGCATTTTTCTCTTGATCTGAGCAAAACTAGTTCATAACTTTCTGTACTTGCAGAGTTTGCACAGAAGCATGAACTAGGTCAATCATGTACGGCTTACCTTTAGAATGAAACTAAAAGCAGAAACAGAAGGTTGTTAAAACATCACTAAAACCAGCTTCAATCAGATACAAACACTGAAAGCCAGACTCTCCTTTATATTTCCCCTTTCAGGATTGCAAGTAGAGCATCAAGGGGAGGAAAAGTTGTTGGTTTGTGGGGTTTTTTGTGGGAAAATTCCACAAGAACTCCTGCGGTAGCAAGACTTCACCAAAATCAAGAAGGGGGCAGCCTATGATTGAAGTTTGAACAAAATTATTTATTTTTTTAAAAAAATAAAATTATGCCTCTATTGGGGTAAGCACAGTGTTGGTGCCAGAAACTTAGCTTTGAGAAAGTCCCAGTCCGAACTTCACATCCTGATGAAAATAAATTTGATATAAAATAGGTAGATCATCAGTTTAAGAGCATCTTAACTGTTTTTAAGCCCTGCATTATTTTGCTATACTGTCTGCTTACATATGAGTGTGATAACATCTCAATTTTGTTTTCTTAAGAGCATGTTTATAGCTTAATTTATGACCTACATATGTTCAAAACATAAAGCAGTGTATATAAATCTTCATGTGCTACCTGAAGTCAGACAAAACACAGTAGAATGCATTATCAGCACTTAAACCAGGAAAGACATGCAAAACTAAAAACAACAAAAACAATAATTTAGAAACTACTGGTTGCAATCTCAAGAGCTCCTGCACTTCCCACAGCAGATCAGCATAGCAAGCTGGGGGACGTTTTCCATGAGAACAAATGTCGCATAAATGGTCTCTAAAAGTTGATAGGAAAAAAACCCTAGCACTACTCTCACTGCACTTCATGGATTGCTGCTGTTTGCCATTTCATACTGACTCAGTTACTCCACCCCAAGTCAGACGTTTTACCAAACTCCTTTAAACCCTGTTAACACCCTCATTTCCCAATCATCATACAGTCCAGATTCGCAATTTTTTTTTTTACACTACCACTACATGTCTCACTGCTTAGTGCTTGCCATGAGTACCTTTGGGTGGCTTAGGCACTGAGCCACGTCTCTCACCTGAAGGGGTTTTGTTTAGAAGACTGACCAGAGTTTGTCTCGCTGATAGCGATCTGTCACGTAGGAGCTCAAACAATAGGAGCTCACACAATATCACCTCGTGTTTCCATTCCAGAGAAAGAGGATTGCTGAGCTCCTTGCTCTTTCTGAGGTTACAATCAAAGAGGATGTGGAGGCAGGGAAAAGATATCTAACTCGGAAAGCACAATTTTGGCAGCAGTAACTCAACTCACTTTGAGTCTGCATCTCACAAAAGAGGTTTTGTTCATGACGACTAAGTACAAGTGCAAATTTTTCTGCTTTCAAGAGAAGTATCCTTCCAGACCTGAGTGATGTCAGTGACGGGATAGGCAAAGTTTCACTGAAGTTTCCTCCGTAGCTAAATACAGTTGCATTACCAGCTTCTGAACCCACACTTTGATTTTAATCTGATCCAAAGTGTACCTAAGCAACTGTATACATGACGTAGGAGTTATCTTCACCATCTCATCTTCATTAAAGGAAGGTGGATAAACGCACATCAGTTAAGAATTAGGCTCCTTCACTGCCTTTGTTTGAAAACCACAAAACTCTCTCTATCGCCGCAGCTGGGAAATGAGTCACGACTAATATCTAGTCCTGGATTAGGAAAGACAGAGCCCAGAGCCTCCAGCAGCCCGTTCCTCAGAGGCAGCGGGACCAGGAGGAGCAGAGGTTATCCACGCACCCGGACACCCCCGGAGCAGCCGGGTACTGGGAACAGGGCGATTCCCACCACAAGGCGCCAGGCACGGAGGCGGGAGAGTGGGGGGAACTGAACGACCATCGCCTCTCCCTGGGAGAAAGGGCGGGCGGAGGGGCTTCACCTTCACCTGCCAGGCGCTCCCTCTCCTTCCCACCCGCCAAACGGGATGCCAGTCCCGAGCGATCCCGCAGCCCCCGCGCCCCTCGGCTCAGGGACAAAGCGGCGCTTGTCCCGCACCCCGGCAGAGGAGGCGCCGGGCTCTGCCCGCTTTGTCTGGCGGGCCCGTCACTCACCGCACATGGTGACACCGCACGGTCCTCCCCGCTCCCAGCACACGCAGCTCCGGCCACGGACCAGCTCAGGGCCGGCGCTCCGGCTCTTATAGCGCTGCCTCCCCGCCCACCGGCCCGGCCACAGCCCCGGAGGGGGCGGTCGGGTCCTGCCCCTGCCCGGCCCGACCCTTGCGAGGGCTGCGGGGAGGTCTGCCGGGCTCCGCACACGGAGAATCACGGAATCCGGAAGATTGGAAAAGACCTCCAAGATCATCGAGTCCAACCTTGGACCGATCAACTCAGCGCCACGTCCAGTCGTGTCTTGAGCACCTCCGGATGGGGCCTCCACCACCTCTCTGGGCAGCCCGATCCGATGCTTGGCAACCCCTCCCATGAAGAAATTCTTCCTGATGTCCAACCTGAACCTTCCCTGGTGCAGCTTGAAGTTGTGTCCTCTCGTCCTGTCAAGACAGGATGAATTCCAAGTCCTCATGTCATGCCATGAGGTGACTCAGGCTGGCTCAGGGATCTTTGGCGTGGCAGTAACACCAGTGAGACCTGGCTGTGTGTCCATGGACAGCATAAGGGGTGTTTTTTGTGCACTAATTCCAGTTTTCCACCTCCCAGTTCCATGGAGGAGCAGGACAGGTGGTGAAAGCAGTCCCTCCTGTCAGGGCAGCATGCAGGGCTTGAGGCAAAGGTGCTGGGCAGCCCCTCTCTGAGCTGGACAGGGGAATGTGCCCCCCTTTCAGCCACAAACATTTACAAACCCACACTCAGCAGCCCAGTTCATCTGCACAGGCAGGACGGGCACCACCTGAACCCATGCTCAGCTGAACGTGGCCACTGGGCTCCACCTAAGGGAGAGCCAAAACTCCTGCTCAGCCTCTGAGGTCTCTTCCATGTACTTGGCAAGAAAGAAACTGCTCCAGGAGCCTCCTCCAGCCTCTGCCTCCCCAGCCAGCCTCTCTCCTAGAGGTAGACACCACGAGGATGAGGAAAAAGCCTGGCCAATGTTTTCCTCAGGGCATGCCTGAAACTTGTCTCTTATCCCAGGGATCCTTCTCTAAGCAGCTTTTAAAGCAAGTGCCTTGCAGCACACTTGGACTGCCAGCGTGCACAGAAGTAGCTCAAGCTGCTATTCGAACAAACAAGATTTTTAAAAATACACAAAGTTTCATGTTATAGTTTTTCTTCCTTATTAAAAAGGACCAAAATATTTTATAGACATGATCCTGGTTATCTCACAGAGTTATTGAAGCTCAAGCAAAAGGTGTCTTATTTAACCTAGAACTCAATGGTTCGTTTTCTCTTGCATTTTTTTTTTGCAGGTAATTTTTTACACAAAGTAGTGATTCCCTCAAACTTTGTCACTTTTTTTCTTGATGGAGAGGTTGAATGAAGGATAAAGGTTGGAAGATCAACATTTCTACTACAAAAAAACCTTTTTGTGTCACTTTAAGGGTAACTGTCTTAATTTTAAGGTAAAAACCAAGATTTATAAATATTTTCAAGTCATAAAATTAAAGAAAACAGTGTTAAAACTCTGCTTTAAATTAGTTTCCAAAAAGGAATAAATTAAGTGTATTTTTCACTGTGTATGTGAAACAGCTATGACACCATGCTCAGTAAAACCACTATTGTTTTCCTTCCCCCAGTCTCCCAGAATAAGACCAAACAGGCCCATGATTTGTCACCATTTCAGTCCCAGCTCTGTCACTGGTCTGCCATGTGACATCAAGCAAGTCACTTTGACACTCCATTCCAGTTTTTCTTGTCTGTTTAGGTAACTTTGCTTCTCCTCTAAAGTCATCTCTGATCTTGTTTCCCCCAGTGCAGCCTGAGCAAAGGGGGACGTTCCTAATCACAGCTACGTGTGTTAAGTACCACTGCTATTTATATCTATTTATATTAAATTATATACAATTAAGGTAAACTTTTTACTTTCTCCTTGTGAAACATGCATTTTAACTAATGAATGATGCAGACAGTAGGAAAGAAACACTTTTTTTTTTTAACATCACTGCAATACTAATTGCCAAAGATCACGAGCCAGAGCCCAAAATTCCACTCATGCAAGACATTTCATGTTTCCATGGGACATTCCCAGGGAGAAAACTAAACAAAAATGAGACTCAACTGCTACTAAGAACTGCATTAATTAGTGATTAATGTGTCACTTTGATAACTTATCAGTCAACACTTCCCAGACACATCTGTCTGATACCATTTGGTTTTTTCCGTGACTTTTTAGAAGTGCATTAGAGAGTACAGTAATTCTTTTTACTGGTGGGTTTGTCTGGCTTGAAGGACATACCTTACAGCACTCAGTGGGATGGGAATCAAACTGATCCCATCTCACCTTACGACTTCTTAAAGTCTAAAGGCCAAAATATGTGAAAGTATCACTTAAAGTATTCAACACAAAGATGATCCAGCAATTCTGCTGTACTCTGGAAAAGTGCTCTTCTCAGGAGAACATAAAAAAACCCAAAACAAAACAGATAGTTTTGACAAAGGGTTTGTAAATCAAAGGTTTCCATTTTCCTGCCAGAAGAGACAGGCAACAAAGAGGCCAAGTGGTGCAACTTCCACCAAAGTCTGAACATAAATCTGAAGTGACACTGTAAGAATCAGGAATTTTTGCCCAACTACATCTTTTTTGTTTTTTCCCCTCACAGAAGTGATCAAAATTAGAAGTAGGAAATAGTAGGGCACAGTTTGGAGAGCACTGTATCACTGTTTTAGCGTCAGTTAATGAGGAAGTTACCTGGGGCATTAGGAAAAGGCAATGAAAATCATCGTGTGGTTGGAAAGAGAAGGGATTTATGTTTAGGCTCCCTCTGAGCCTAACACAGCTCCTAGTTCTTACAGGTTCTATGCTCTGCCCAGAAAAGCAGCCAGTAGCAGTTTAAGGACAGATATTCCAAATTGCATTTGCATTCTCAAGAGGTTCAGATACATATCTGAACACCTTGGTCTGTTCCTTGTTCCTGGACGTCCAAGGGGACTGAATTTCCTGCTGAAGAGTTTCAGTGAATTCACTTGTCCCAGGGAATGAGAGGACCAAACCACCCCCATTAGCAAACAGGGGCAGGAAAAGGTAGTGGATGTGAACTGCAAAAGGGAAAAACTACGATAAATATCAGGAAAAAATTAGGAGGAGCAGTTATGCAATGGAACAGGCTGCAAAGGCTGGTTTATGGCCCTTTCACTGGGGACTGGGCTGGAGTAGACCCTGTCCTGTGAGGCATCACTGAGTGAGTGATCTGTGTGTGGTGTGAGAGATGAGGGGTGACCAAATGGCAGTCCCTTCCAGCTCCTGCACTTCCATGATTATAGCTGGGTTATAAAACTCCTTTTAAATTGCCCTTTTTGGACTGCTGGTTGACTGGCTACAACAATTTCTGAGAACTAGCAGCCTGTTGCTGTTGCTAGATTCATACTAGAATACACAGAACAAGTTCTTACATTAACAATGACAATCCATTATTTTAGTTTATATTATGTATTTAAATATTAGATATAATTATATAATACGTTATTTTTTATATATTTAGTGTTTTTCTTGCTTCAAAATGTGAAAGCTGAGGGCCCAAAAGCAGCCATTACAGATCATCATCTTCCTCAGCTAGGCTCCTGCACTTCTGCAATATTTATGTGTTGCTCTGAATAAAAATACATAAAACATTGAGAAAATCTGAACACTCACCATCACTTTAATTTTGACAAAATAGGACAGAGTTGTTCCCTACCAAGGCTCTTAAGAATATTTGGGTTGATCTGGATCTCTCCAATTTCTTTCCAGTCTGATAACGGTGACTGCAGTTAAGCAGGAGTTACTCCAGTGAAGTTGAATTTCTCCAGTAGGATAAACAAGAGTAAAGGGGGCTGACCTTGCAGGCACGTGAAGGAGGTCAGGCTGTGCATGGTGGAGTGCTGCTGTGCTCCAGAACAGGACCCAGTTACTGAGGAAAGGCCACCCTCCACATCCATCTCAGCTCCACTGCCAGTTTGGAAGACAATCAGCAAGTGCCTTTGAAGTGAAGACAGCAACACCTTTCTTCTGCTGAGAAGTTCAAAAGAGAGGAAAAAAAAATCTCATATTGATGGTTCTCTCACTGGAGGTGTCAACTACCTGCTCACTTAGGATCTGTCTAGGGCTAAGAAACTGGTATTTTCAGTTTAAAAGTACCTAATAGTAATTAACAGCTTTTAATTTGAGAACAGGGGAGAGTTGATGGTCATTTGTCACTGCCAGGTGGTTGTCTTTGAAATGATAAAAATTATGTGTGCTAGGAGGAGTTACATGTAAATGTGAATCATCATCACACCTATGACTGAGAATTAGGTAACCTCGATTTAATTCAGTGATGGCTTTTCGGCTGAATTATCATGAGGAACATGTGTAATATAAAACCAATCCAGCTAATTAACTATATTTTAAATACCTTAAAAACACAAAGGTGCATTCAGTAACAACTGATCTAAAGCATCTTGTTTCAAAGAGCATTAAGTGGTTTCCTGAGGTTTTGATGTAAATTCCTCTTAACGGGAGCTGCGAATAAGTTAAAGGCAAATGTCAGGGAGAAAAAGAAATGCTTGGAAAAGTCTGTAGGTTCTTCAAGCAAGCCAGCTCTTGGTGCTGGATTAGTTTTCTCAGCATGTTGTGTGGTCCTTCAGGGCAAGAGTGAGAAATGCTGACAGAGCAACACAACTCTCTGCATACCTGCCCTCCCCTGCCCCATTTCTGGGCATCAGGACCATCTACTCAATATTTTCCATAAATACAGGATTCTCTCAGATTACCTGGGGTTGGAGGGAGCAAAGTTAGCTACTCACAGTAGCCAGGAAAAGAATGCCCATTTAAGAAATCAAAAAGCTTAAAAGCCAAAGATAAAAAAAAGGCACTACAAGAAATCAATTCTCTCCAGTAACGCACCAAAACAAGGCTTCAATCGAAGTGTTTGAGGAAGGAGCTGGTTGTAGAATCAAAAAGGTGCTGCAGCTGCTCCATATGGCTCATACAGCTACATCACACCACACACCAGCCACAGCATCACCTCTTCCTTCTCC